TTTTTAAGCCTTGGGGAAATTAGACAGGATTTGTATGGGGCCCCAAACAGAGGGTTTGAATGGGAAAGACAAAATATTGAAGTCCCTTAACGGGGTAGGTAGTGGGTGACAGGCGCACGGGTTTGTGTCAAGAACAAAAACTGTGGTTTTTCACGTAAAATGTTTCCTGTCTGCATAAGAATGGTCCACCCCCCAAAGGGAATCCAGCCAATTGAAAACTGGGGAAGCTTGGAGTCAACATGGGCCACACCCACGGGGGAAGGTTTAGACCCCTTGGAGTCAGCCGATAAATTTGAGGGTTCGAGGGCAAAAGGGGGTGGAACCAAAACAGGAAGGGCCCTTTGGGTTTTGTAAGGTTTCTTTATGGGTATACTCCGTTTTTTGGGTAAAATGTCACCAAATTGGTTCGCCCCTCCTCAACAGTTTGGCCGTGGCTTGCTATATAAAGCAGGCAAAAGGGCACCGTTATTTTGTTTGAACTTTAATGAGTTTACCAAAGCAACCTTGAGAGGGTTGTGTCAGTGCCAGGCGCGGGGGATCCAGTATTCAGAAACGGCCGCCCTCCGGGGGTTTTTCACGCAGCCGTGTCGGGTTTTCCCGAGAATGGAGCGACAAAAAGAAAACCCAGCAGGGGGCCCCAAAAAAAGGGGCAAAAAACAGGCTAATACGGTCTATCAGGCTAAGACGGCTATATAAGGGGCAAACAGGTAATACAGTCTATTAAGTTATACAGGCTTTACACTATATAAGCAAATTACAGCTATATCCCGGATATAAGGCAATCGGGGCTATTTACAGGCTAAACAGCTTATACAGATTAAGGCTATACAGGCATTACAGGCTATATACAGGCCTATCAGCTATATACGGCTAATACAGGCTCAACAGGTTATACAGGCTATATAAGGCATAACAGGTCTATCGGTATAGACGGCTATATACAGGCATATACAGGTTTATACAGTCAGGGGGCCAAAAAAACAGGGGGGGGAAAAACAGCTTTCGAGAGAGGTCAAAGGAAAAGAGAATAGAAGAAGTGAAAGCTAACAGGGGCCCAAAACAAACAGGAAATAACGGCACGTGGTTGGGGAAACGGTCGGAAACCCAAAACTGTCGGTTTTTTGCCGACGACACACGGGTTTTAAACCCTTACTAAAACAAGAAAAAGCGGCTCATGGGATGCTATCCCCAACACTGGACAATAGGAGTAAAAAAAACATCCCCTGGCCCGACGAATCTGTTTCCGTTGCGTATGCTGGGCAGAGTCAAATTTGGCGTAAGCAGCAGAGCCAGGGCCCCATCCTCCCTCTGTAACGGTACGGTGGTGGTGTAATGGTGGGGGAATTTTTTCCTGGCAAGGTAAGGGGGGGTGGTGGAATGGTGGGGGGAAATATTTCGGGCCAAACGTTAATGTTGATATCTTTTTAAGCAAGTTGAAGAAAAAACCATTAGAACCCCCAAAAGAATTCGGCTGTTCGTGGGCAAAGGGGGGTCCTACCGGATAGGGGGTTGACCAAATAAACAAAGTTTACTATATGGGTTTAATACTATACAAATTTTACTTCACTTATAGGTTTAAATATACTAAAATTACTATACTGGTCTACTAATACACCTGGGGGTATACGTGGGGGAAAAAAAAGATTGATCCCCTGCGGATTTGGTAGTTGCCATGACAAAGAAAATCAGTCTATAGAAAGGGTGGTTTATTAAAACAGTGGGAGACAGAATAAAACAACAAAAAAATCCAAAAAAAACGCTGTCAAAAATATTATAAATTGTGTAAAAAATTTTTTTTGACCCCCTCTGTCACGATGTCATAGGAAAAACGGGGAAAAAGGCGCGCGTGGAAAAAATACTTTAATTGTTAAAGTTTAAAAATGAATACAAAAAGAAACGACTCGTGAGTCCACGGTATCAATGCCGAAAAAAAACAAAAAACCCCCAAAACAAAGGAAAAACAGACAGTTTAAAAATTTGGTCCCAATAGAACAACCAGCCAACAGCGACACTCGTTGCCCCCGATTGGGGCACTAGGCAAACATAGAAATCAACAAACTAGAACCCCCAACTGAAATAAAACAAGAATAAACACCCCTGGCTCAAAAAAAAGGGGTCCCGAGCCGGGGTGACACCCTTCAAACAGAAAGATTTTTGGTCCCCGTGTCTTTTTACAGGGGAACGGCGAGATTAGGAGCACACTCTTAAAGGGAGTGCTCCTAATCTCAGCTTGTTACCTGTATAAAATACACCTGTCCACAGAAGCAATCAATCAGATTCCAAACTCTCCACCAAGCATTCCATAAGTGTCAAAGGTTTTATTGACAATTACATTAAGTTTATGCAAAGAGTCAATATTTGCAGTGTTGACTCTTTTTTTCAAGACCTCTGCAATCCGCCCTGGCATGTTGTCAATTAACTTCTGGACCACATCCTGACTAATGGCAGCCTATTCTTGCATAATCAATGCTTGGAGTTTGTCAGAATTTGTGGGGTTTTGTTTGTCCACCCGCCTCTTGAGGATTGACCACAAGTTCTCAATTGGATTAAGGTCTGGGGAGTTTCCTGGCCATGGACCCAAGATGTCGATGTTTTGTTCACTGAGCCACTTAGTTATCACTTTTGCCTTATGTCAAGGTGCTCCATCATGCTGGAGAAGGCATTGTTCGTCACCAAACTGTTCTTGGATGGTGGGAGAAGTTGCTCTCGTGAATGGTCTCAGGATGCTTTACTGTTGGCATGACACAGGACTGATGGTAGCGCTCACCTTGTCTTCTCCGGACAAGCTTTTTTCCGGATGCCCGAAACAATCCGAAAGGGGATTCATCAGAGAAAATGACTTTACCCCAGTCCTCAGCAGTCCAATCCCTGTACCTTTTGCAGAATATCAGTCTGTCCCTGATGATTTTTCCTGGAGATAAGTGGCTTCCTCGCTGCCCTTCTTGACACCAGGCCATCCTCCAAAGTCTTCGCCTCACTGTGCGTACAGATGCAACTCACACCTGCCTGCTGCCATTCCTGAGCAAGCTCTGCACTGGTGGTGCCACGATCTCGCAGCTGAATCAACTTTAGGAGACGGTCCTGGCGCTTGCTGGACTTTCTTGGGCGCCCTGACGCCTTCTTCACAACAATTGAACCTCTCTCCTTGAAGTTCTTGATGATCCGATAAATGGTTGATTTAGGTGCAATCTTACTAGCAGCAATATCGTTGCCTGTGAAGCCCTTTTTGTGCAAAGCAATGATGACGGCACGTGTTTCTTTGCAGGTAGCCATGGTCAACAGAGGAAGAACAATGATTTCAAGCACCACCCTCCTTTTAAAGCTTCCAGTCTGTTATTCTAACTCAAATTAGCATGACAGAGTGATCTCACCTGTGTTAACTAGAGAATCACTGACATGATGTCAGCTGGTCCTTTTGTGGCAGGGCTGAAATGCAGTTCAAATGTTTTTTGGGGGATTAAGTTCATTTCATGGCAAAGAGGGACTTTGTAATTAATTGCAATTCATCTGATCACTCTTCATAACATTCTGGAGTATATGCAAATTGCCATCATAAAAACTGAGGCAGCAGACTTTGTGAAAATTAATATTTGTGTCATTCTCAAAACTTTTGACCACGACTGTAGAAACAAAGCTTGATTTGATTTGATTGGTTCCAGTCTATACACTATACTAATAAACTCAGCAAAAAAAGAAACGTCCTCTCACTGTCAACTGCATTTATTTTCAGCAAACTTAACATGTGTAAATATTTGTATGAACATAACAAGATTCAACAACTGACACATAAACTGAACAAGTTCCACAGACATGTGACTAACAGAAATTGAATAATGTGTCCCTGAACAAAGGGGGGGGGGGGGGGGTCAAAATCTAAAGTAACAGTCAGTATCTGGTGTGGCTACCAGCTGCATTGAGTACTGCAGTGCATCTCCTCCTCATGGACTGCAACAGATTTGCCAGTTCTTGCTGTGAGATGTTACCCCACTCTTCCACCAAGGCACCTGCAAGTTCCCGGACATTTCTGGGGAGTATGGCCCTAGCCCTCACCCTCCGATCCAACAGGTCCCAGACGTGCTCAATGGGATTGAGATCCGGGGCTCTTCGCTGGCCATGGCAGAACACTGACATTCCTGTCTTGCAGGAAATCACGCACAGAACGAGTAGTATGGCTGTTGGCATTGTCATGCTGGAGGGTCATGTCAGGATGAGCCTGCAGGAAGGGTAACCACATGAGGGAGGAGGATGTCTTCCCTGTAACGCACAGCGTTGAGATTGAGATTGCCTGCAATGACAACAAGCTCAGTCCGATGATGCTGTGACACACCGCCCCAGACCATGACGGACCCTCCACCTCCAAATCGATCCCGCTCCAGAGTACAGGCCTGGGTGTAACGCTCATTCCTTCGACGATAAACGCGAATCTGACCATCACCCCTGGTGAGACAAAACCGCGACTCGTCAGTGAAGAGCAATTTTTGCCAGTGCTGTCTGGTCCAGCGACGGTGGGTTTGTGCTCATAGGCGACGTTGTGGCCGGTGATGTCTGGTGAGGACCTGCCTTACAACAGGCCTACAAGCCCTCAGTCCAGCCTCTCTCAGCCTATTGCGGACAGTCTGAGCACTGATGGAGGGATTATGCGTTCCTGGTGTAACTCGGTGTCACGATCGTCGAACACAGTGGACCAATGCGCAGCGTGATAAGTGAACATACTTTTATTATTCCACACGAAACAAAACAACAAAACGATAACGTGAAGTCCTTGGTTACAATACAAAACCAACATGGCACAAGATCCCACAAAACACTGTGGAAAACAG